CTTCGGAGGCGGTTCGCCTCGGTACTGCAATGAGCCTCGCTATGCTTCATCCCCGGAGGCCTACGTCCAGGATGACAGCGACGACGACGACGGGCCACAGTACGACGACGAGGGAGCCAGCGACGGACGGGACACGCCGAGTGGCGCCGGGGTCGGCTACGGAGGCGTTCCACACCAGTTTTTTTCACAGCCACTGGATACAGTTGCTCCAGGTCCACTACACATCGTGTTGGATCCGGATGCCCTTTCGGCCAACGGAGGAGCCGATCATAGAGTTCCCAACCTCACCGGAGCCGAACCTCGCGCTCGTAGGTCCCGACCCGAGAGACGTCGACGACGTCCAGGACCCGACGGCTCCATCACAGACCAGCCTCAGCGCTGCGTCGCACACTGGGCATTCCATTACAGGTGACGTCGACGACGCCCTGGACCCGCCGATCCTGGCTCAGACCAGCCTTAGCGCTTCGTCGCCCACTGGGCATTCCATTACAGGTGGCGTCGACGACGCCCTGGACCCGCCGATCCCGGCTCAGACCAGCCTCAGCGCTGCGTCGCCCACTGGGCATTCCATTACAGGTGACGTCGACGACGCCCTGGACACGCCGATCCCGGCTCAGACCAGCCTCAACGCTGCGTCGCCCACCGGGCATTCCCTTACAGGTGACGTCGACGACGCCCTGGACCCGCCGATCCCGGCTCAGACCAGCCTCAGCGCTGCGTCGCCCACTGGGCATTCAATCACAGGTCAGGCTCGTCAGCCCGAGCGCGCAAACTCCGCTCCTGACGGCGCCTTGGACCTATCGATCCCGACACAAACCAGCCTCAGCGCTGCGTCGCCCACTGGGCATTCAATCACAGGTCAGGCTCGTCAGCCCGAGCGCGCAAACTCCGCTCCTGACGACGCCTTGGACCTATCGGCCCCGCGGTGCACCGCACCCAACAACACGTTGCCCCCTGGGCATTCAATCACCCGCCAGGCCCGTCAACACGAGCGGTTCCACTCCGCTCCGGACGCCACCAACGACGCCACCTACACAAGCTTCTGCGCTGCGCTGACCACCGGGCACCCAACCATCGACATGGTGCACCAGCCAGAACACACCTGCGCCGCTCATGACGCCGCGTTGGACTTAACGTCAACTACAGATGACCCCCGCTTAGCCGCCGGCTCCACGTTTGGCCTCGACGAACCGGTCGACCGCGACACTTTTCCCTGGGTAGGCACCCAAGCCAGTTCCAATCAGATCCCAGTCGCCCTGAGGATACTGCGTGCGGAGAACACCTACGCCGCGCACGTCGCCACCCGCCAGCCAAACCATGCCGGATCGTCGGATACGGCTAGCGGGAAGTGTATGGCCTGGTCGTCCCAGTCAAGCGACTCCGACACAGACGGCGTCGCCATTTTCCGACGCAGCCGCAGGAGGAAGCGTGCGCAGCAACCCCAACCGCAGCCGACAGCGAGTGCCACCGCGCATCCTACCCAAAATCGACCTCCATCGGAAGCCAGTGCCGACATCCTGGAGTTGGGAATTTCGGACGAGGCGATGGACGCCCTGATGGCCGAACTCCCACCAGAGGTCGAGAGCCAGGTCTTGGACTGGCTGTCGGATGGAGACACTCCAGCTGCTCTGTCAGTACAAGACGCAGGCGAAGTCAGAGTAGTTCCCCCGGAGGGGTGGACTTGCGACACGCCGGATGGAAGAATCCCCACCAATATCGCGGACGTCATCGAAGCCCGAGCGCGGCAAGCCAGGTCCCGCCAGCGGTACCGCCTTCAACGCCCAGAGGGGAACTACCAGGTCACCAGCCGCACCAATGGCTCCGTCTCAATTCTTTTCAATTCCACCCCGAAGTAGGAAGGTGGTGTGACGCCTCATCTAGCGAGGCTCACATGTTTTCTACTTATCGTATCATCAGTATATCTCATTTATATTATTTTGTTTATTAGTCATGTAAGAGAAATATCATGGAGTACATTCGTTATAATAGTTCTAAGTAAATCAGTATATCCCATTTATATTATGTTGTTTATTAGTCATGTAAGAGAAATATCATGGAATACATTCGTTATAATAGTTCTAAGGAAATCAGTTAATCCCGACATACCTAAATAAGATTTAAAATTAAGCTAAACAAAGTTGCCATTTATTTCGCGTTACCAACGACATTGCCATTTACTTCGCGTTGCCACCAACGTTGCCATTTACGGCACTATCGATTAACACGCTGACAGCTGATCCGTGGCCAGATCGCGACGCTGTCAAAAACCGGCAGCTTGTCAGAGAACTTTCAAGGAAGCTCGATCTCTTCCTTTCCGGACAGCCGTAGCGAGCAGACGTGCGCTCCGAAACTCGGCCTCTGCCCCAGTCCGCCGCAGAAGGAAAACATAACCACACTTACGCCGACAGGTAAACCTCGATCACGTGTTAACAAACAACCACGCGCAATACAGCCCCCCCGAGGCTTAACTAACAAATAACCACGCGCAATACAGCCACCGCGGCTTAATCAACGAATAACCCTCGGTGCAGCAGCAGGGAAAACAGGTTAGGGCAAGTGGCCAATAAAGTAAAGTGATACATTGTGAACATTTAATTCCTGAGTGTTCTTGATTTCGTAGACTTCATAGCAACTAACCCTAACTCGCACCTCCCCGATCCCTACCACCTGCCAGTAGTTGGTGATCCCTCCGGCGTGGCTACGACCCCTTCCTGGTTAGCCCAGCGGAAGTCGGCGTGCCCCATTCCTGTGCCCGTAGTGAGTATTCCTGAGCCCTCTCGGACACGCTCACGTGTTCCTAACCTGTCCTACCGAGCATAGATTCGGCTCAACCAGGTGTCTCACCGGCTCGTTGGAGCACCCCCCCTTCCGCTCCGCTCTCCCCTCGTTAACGGCGCAGAGCCTGCCACAGGGTGCGCAGTGTGCTCAAAGCCGGAGTACCGTTAATCCAAAATCCGCACTCTACAGTTCCTATCATTAACAAGTTCCCCCTGTAAATTACAAATTTCTTGTAAGGATCTCTGGCACGACTGAGGTTTATCCCAGCCTGAGAAGATTCGTTACAATGTGTGTGGCTGGCGTTGTCCTGGTGGAAGACAATTCGGCATCTGTTGATCAAAGATGGCTTCTTCTGCATGAGTGCTGTCTTCAAGCGGTCCAGTTGTTGGCAATACAGGTCCGAATTGAGCGTTTGCCATAGGCGAGCAGCTCATAGTGGATTATTCCCTGCCAATCCCACCAAACACACAGAAGAACCTTCCTGGCCGTCAATCCAGGCTTGGCCACCGTCTGGGTCGCTTCACCGCTTTTCGACCACGACCGTTTGCGCCTTACGTTATCGTAAGTGACCCACTTTTCATCGCCAGTCACCATACTCTTCAAAAACGGGTCGATTTTGTTGCGATTTAGAAGCGATTCGCATGCGTCGATACGGTCAAAGATGTTTTTTCGCGTCAATTCGTGTGGCACCCATACATCGAGCTTCTTAGTGACTCCAAGCTTCTTCAAATGGTTAATAACGGTTTGATGACTCATGCCCAGCTCTTGACCGATGCTACGGCTGCTACTATGCCGGTCTCTTTCGACCAATTCAGCGATTTTATCGCAATTTTCGACGACAGGCCTTCCGGAGCGTGGCGCATCTTCGACCACCTCTACACCAGAACGAAAACGTTGAAACCATCGTTGTGCGGTGGGAATGGAAACTGTATCGGGTCCATAAACTGCACAAATTTTATTGGCGGCTTGAGATGCATTTTTGCCTTTATCGTAGTAGTACTGTAAAATATGCCGTATTTTATCTTTATTTTGCTCCATGATTGCGACGCTATAACTAACGAACGACTTAAAAGCAGAGCTCGCAAATAACAGTCGACCGTTTCTCGTTGTCTGCTAATAACAGTCTTCTCCTAACCCTTTACGAAAAGTCTCAGAGAACGACCGGTTTATGGGTTCGAGAATGGGTTCGGTTGCGCTCAGACCGAAACCGTTTTTTTCTATTCGGTTTTGTTCTGGTTGCTCCAAGACCGTTTGTCATTTTCAGTGAAGCAAAAGGTCTTTTGCATATGTATTAGAATACAGTGAACGTATTGGCAAGCAAATCTTTAAAGATCGGCTTTGCGGACGAAATATATTAATCGCTACGTGAATTGAACGTGTGTGTGTAAATGCGAAGACCGTTTGCGTTGAGTTTTTCGGTCAATCGGTCTTTTGCTGACTCTCATTGTGCGAGCGTTTCTCGATCTGCTCCTTACGTACTGCTAATTGAAAGATCGAAATACAAAGAGCTCAACGAAAAGCGCTCAACAGAAAACACAAATGATGACAGCAAGGGTCTCTTGCTCAGAGCGAGAGAGTATGAACTTTTTCGGTTGTGCTCGCACCGAGAGCATAAGATGAAAAACGGTCGACTGTTATTTGCGAGCTCTGCTTAAAAGAAAAGACAATCAATCAAACACGTGTTAGGGCATGAAATGAGCTTTTCAAAAAGGTATAGTATGACCTGATCCGACGAATAAAACAAGAACTACGAGCTTTCAGCGCCAACTAGCGAAAATACCGCAAGACTTTTTTGATAATCTAATATTAGGTTGTCAAAAAAGTCTTGCGGTATTTTTATTGAATTTTCAATTACCAATCTGCTCAATATACCACATTGACAACAGTACACTTATTAGTCGAGCTGCTAGTGTTTAAATAATTTCAGATTGATTATTCGATTATGTTATTATTTGGGGCTAATCCAGCAAAGCGGGTTTAAAGGGCTCAAATGGCTCTACCTTATTTCTTGAAATTTTTCTGGGTCTGCCACTCTTTGTGCTAAAGGCATAATATGCACAATTTTGTATATATAAAGGCAATAAAACGCGCTGCACTGAGACCTGAGATTTCACGTTACTCATCTTCATGGATTTACCTCCGTTGATTCGATAGAAGCAATGCATTTATGTCAAGCCCTTAATGTCAGAAGGTCTGACCAGACCCTAAAAAAAATAAACTACAACTTTGTTCATTTTTTATTTTTTACATTGGTCTAAATATGTACACTTATGCATAAACTTTTTGTTAAACTTTCACTTTTATTCATTGTTCATTTTAATATTTTTACTATTGATATATTATTTATATAAGTGTATGTACTTCATTTAATGAAACTGATATTCCATATAACATTTTAATTAAATTTCTTTCATTATTTTTTACATCCCTTACCGAATAGAGTACACTTAACAAAAGTAAACAAAAGCATACATTAAAATTTTACCATGCTCTCCCCTGTAATGGCAAATATCCGCCACATTGCTGCTGATGTCCATTCGAAATAAAATTATTTTGGTTTCTATACGCCATTGCTAAACTGTTTGACATTAAAGTATTATTGCAGGGTTGCTGCAGCATAGCAACGTTGGAACCTCCAACAGTCCCATAACTAGCAAGTAATGATGAAGATGTATCCGGCGAATGAGAGTTCGGAGCATCTCCTGTTATAAGATTGAGACCACCCGTAACATTAGCGGTTACTGAGACGCCTCCACTACTAGCAGTACCACCATTATTAGCATTTGTATTGTTGGCTGCTGACGTGGCACTGTTACCAATCGATTGAGATTGAGTTGAACTATTTCCAGAACAAGGCTTGCCGTCTTTTACGAGTACCGGCACGGCCACGCGTCTTGGTGAGCTCGCAGACTGCAATTGGAGGACAAAATAAAAAAATTATTTATTATTTCAAAGGTTAGTCGAATATTTAGGAAACAGCTGTTGCATACATGGATTTTCAAATTGTAAATGTGCGAAACACAAGCTAACAAAACTTTATAAAACAAAAACATTTTTTTAACAAGAAAGAAAGCTAGCTTCGGCAAGCCGAAGCTTATATACCCTTGCAATCATCAAATATGGCAAACAAAATACATAAAGACTAAACAACCTCGAAGATATGATGATCTTCTTCCATCTGGAAGAAATCAAGTCGATCTGATCAAAAACAACGGCGTGAGAATTTTTAATACATTCCCTCGTATGGAAGCTATCCGATATAGTCGGCCGATCCGGCCCGTTCCGACTTATATACTGCGTGCAACAAACACACGACTTTTGGGAAAGTTTCAGCAAAATAGCTTTAAAACTGTGAGACTAGTTCACATAGACAGGAGGAGGGTCCGAAGTATCTCCTTCACTGCGTTGCGAACTTCTGACTGAAATTATAATACCCTTTTGCTCTGCATGGGTATAAAAAAATCAAGATGTAACCTGTGATGAAATATTTACATTGACTAGAATATGTTTAACACTCCAAGAAACAAATTTGTAATTTTACTTTTACGTAAGAACTTAATAGTAATTCCAGGCGCCCTTTGATTTGACTTTTTTAAGAACTATCAGGCCCAGCCAAATTTGTTTGACATCTGACCATCCAAATTATGTTCGTAAGAATGTCGAGATTTCAGGGCCTATCATTTAAGAGCTGAAATAGTGCTAATAAGCATGTGGTAATACCTCCAATATTATGATTTTAATTCTGTTTTACAGTACCCTATAACCTTTTTTTATTACTAACAATAGAAAAAGGAAGTGGTGGAAGGCGATATATAATTTAAATGAATGAGTCTCACGGTCACAGACCTCAAACAAAAACAAAATTGGTCGATTTGAAGGGTGTCATATGGATTCATCGATCAGAGCGGCAATTAACAAACTTAAATAGTCGGGCATTGACTTCCAAAAAAAAAAAAAAAAAAACATACATACAACTAATGCCATATAAGGGGATCCAGAGAAAGCTCTAAACGGTTATAAAATATTTAAGACAAATAGAAAAAGTGGTCAAGCACTCTTCCTCTTTAATCCCGGCATCCAATGCAGCCGCTCCCGGTTATCCGCACTCTCCCTTTCCCGGCATCCATTGTACCATGGAAGCATTTTTAGTCCCCGATTCACTCCCGGTTCCACAGGATCCTATTTAGTGCTTACTATTGGGTTGACAAGAAAGTCATGTCGTTTTTTTCAATATTTTCAAAGATGATTTATTTATATCAGGACTTATAATTAATCAATTATGTATTGTCCGTTTTGTTCGACCACTAATGACCATCTTTCGGGCAGCTGCATAATTCCGCGCTCGAAGAACTTTTTCTTTTCCAGAAAAGAATCGAGACAAGTGGTTTTCGACAGCCTCATCTGAATCAAAGTTTTTACCATTCAAAGAGTTTTGAAGAAAGCGAAACAAATGGTAATCTGAAGGTGCTAAGTCCGGACTATAAGGTGGATGTGGTAGCACTTCCCAATTCAGCTCCATTAATTTTTACCGAGTGACCAAAGATGTGTGGGGCCTAGCGTTGTCATGGTGAAAGACTATACCCTTGCGATTAGCTAGTGCCGGCTCCTTTTCTTTAATTTTTTCCGCCAAATTGGATAGCTGGCGACAGTACACATCTGAATTGATGGAATTCATTCCGTCCCAGCAGCTCAAAGTGCACTACACTCTGCCAATTCCACCAAACAGACAGCATAACTTTCCTCTGATGGATATCGGCCTTTGATGTGGCTTGGGCTGGCTCATCTTTCTTGCTCCATGATCTTTTTCGTTGGACATTATTGTTAACAACCCACTTTTCGTCGCCAGTAATGATCCGCTTCAAAAAAGGATCGTTTTTAATCCGTTGCAGCAGAGAATAGCAGATGTTGATACGCTTAGTTAGGTGAATTTCCTTTAAGTTATGCGGAACTCAAACATCGAGCTTGCTTACGTAGCCAAGTTTCTTCAAATGGTTAAAAAGTTGTATGCGACACTTTGAGCTTCTCTGACATCTCCCGCGTTGAATAACGCCGGTTTTCATCCAGCAAAGCCTGAATTTGTTCGTCAAAAACGGCCGATGGTCGACCAGAACGTGGGGCGTCTTTAACTCCAAAGTCTCCAAGCCTGAATTTGGCAAACCAGCGCTGACATTGGCGATCACTCAGGGCATCTTTACCATACACTTCGCACAATTTTTCGCGAGCTTCGAACGCTTTTTTTCCTTTTTGGAAGTAAAAAATCAAAATATGCCAAAAATGCTCACTTTGGTCCTCCATGTTTAATTTACTATAGCTTCCACAAAGGTTATCGAATAATTACCAAATTTTCGTCGATAGTACCCAAGACAATAAGCTTTAAAACGATACTAAAAAGTGTGACCCTGGTGCTCGATTAGTCGTAAATAAATTAGATTAAAAACTTTTACTAAAAAAAACGACATTACTTTCTTGCCAGCCCAATAGTAACAAATTGTAAATAAAGTAAATTAACGCCGGTCGACTCCAAGCCGAATTATTTCCAGTGCAACAAAGTGTTTTTTTCTTCCCTTGTGATCGTTGAGGTCCCTAGCTCTTAATCACAACTTGCAAACGACGCCGGACCGCAGTAAGATTTTCGAATAAATATTTCGCCTAACTTTCTGCGTGATTTCCAGTGTCAATTAATAATCCGTTTAATAAAATCTGATCCAACGACAATTTGTAATGCAGTTTGATCTTCATGTTGTTCCAATTGTGCACGGCCATCATTACCATTACCTAGTTCTCCTTTGATACATATAAAAATTTTAATTTTAATTTTGGACGTTGATTAAAGTAGTACCACCCAATACACCTTTGTTTTTTTATTATGATTTGGAACAGGGAAAGTGTTTCATCGGGAAATTGAAGGTATATACAAATTACATACTAGACGTCTGCATAATTACATTCATAACATTCGTCTAAATGAAAATATTCGAATCGAATAGAATGGAGTGAGTGGAATGATGCAAATGAAATGACATTGTATGAGTGCAAGCCTGTGTTCCTCTCTTAATTTTAGACGTCAAACGAAATGAGAGTGAATGAACGAAACGAAAAGTGAAATGAGAGATTTGGCTATGCCTTGAATACTCGAATCATTCGAGTTCTTGCTTAGGATTTCTGTAGGTACATTCCTTTCTTGAGAACTGCAGCACAAAGTCAAAAAATTTTGCATTCCAGCGAGCAGCGCGGCTTCGGAACGTACATTTTCAAACGCAAGAAATTTTTACAGAATAATTACAGAAAATCGTTGTAGCCACTAATTCGGAAAATATTAACAAAATAATGTTTTTGCATTCCAATTTAAATTAGTTGTAAGTTATTGTTAATTTAGAAATAAATAAAATAAAAAACCATAAATATAAAGCCTTTTCGGATTCGAAGAAAATTCACTGCATTTAATTTGTTTTTATTTCCTTTTATTTACATTTGCAACTCGTATCATTCGAATGAAACGTCTCTGTTTTCAACGTTCTCAACTCACTCAAGTCGTTTCCTTCTACCTGCTCTTTGTGCAAATGAGTAAGCGAAAGAGAGCCAACCCTCTCACTCCATGTTGGCTTTGCTCTCAAATTCACTCAACTCATTTTGAGCATTGTGCATTTGAATGTGGGTTTTTTGCCACTCATGCAGATGTCTATTACATACACTAGTTCAGGGGTGCTCAACGCCTATGCACCGAGTGCACTTTTGTTTTTGTAGAGCTCTGTGCTTATGGGTAGTGCGCCCATAAGCACCGTGCATATGGGCTTCGATTTGCATGCGAAACAAAAACAATTTTGCTTGTTTCTTCATTACATCTCTGTCCGTCGTCACGCTTATCTGATCGCAATGTATTTTGTTTTTGTTTTTTCCTCGAGCACATGCACTGAAACTTATCTTTCTGTCTGCGTTGGCTTTTGATTTATTTCGGGGTTGACCATCGTAAGTGTTATGTTAAATTTTTTGGCGGATCAAAATGAGTGATGAATTAGAGAGCAGTTTTTTTTAGCATAAACTTTAAATGCGAAGTACAATGCTTAATATGCTTCGTAGTTCTGGAGGTAAACACCAAATACATTCTCTATAGGCATTTTTCTCTCAGTGCACAGCTGCACCCCAACACAAACGCGCCGCTACATATGTACACGTTTTCTTGTGGATGTGTTAGTAAACGCACTGCCATAAGACGATCTTGAGCACCCCTGCACTAGTTGCATATACAAATTGCATTGTAAATCTAATCTTTTTCCTAAAATAAATTCTAATTACTTTTAGGTCGATAAAATGTTATCTAAATAAAATTTAGCAAGCTATTCGATATTTTTATTGATATTTATTGGTATTTAAATGCCAACAATAAGGTGAAGCAATTTTGGACGCCGGAAGCGTAATAGTGCAAGGCTAAGCAATTTGCGGCAGAGCCAATCTGATGAGCAGCGTGAAAACTGAAATAAATTCGAATGATCTTGTTCATTCGGAGTACTTTAAATAATCCTAGACCTGCGTTTCGTTACGATCCTGCATCAATTACAATACAGATCAGTTTGTATTATTATTTTTATTGCAATTCGGGTTCTTTAAGTGGGTGCTCTTTGGAGAGAATAACTCAGGTGGATGATCTTGGTGTTCTTCTGGACCCAAAATTAAAATTTTCTATCCATATTTTGTCTATGGCAAGTAAAGCCAAGAGTGTTCTTGGATTTATGAAAAGGTGGTCAAAAGAATTTGACGACCCTTACATAACAAAAACTTTATTTATTTCGCTTGTCCGTCCCATTCTTGAACATGGATCACCGGTCTGGAGTTCCCAATAGGGAGTTCATTCGGATCGGATAAAAAATAATGTTCACTTTTTGCCCTACGTGGCCTAAATTGGGGAATTTTAG